TAAATGCACTATTACATTCATTTATATTACCATCAGTACTTAGGAAACATGTTTCAACTTTGAAAAAACAATAAAAAAATTACGTCACAGTGCATAAAATCAATTATTTCGGTATTCAAGCAAGGTCTGCACAACATTTACGTCTACGAGTTTCTGCACTCAAATGATTGTGAAGCACTCAAAAGCTCGGTGAATTGGCCCAAGTGCAAGAAGGTGGAGTAAGTAGATTTGCGGATTGACTTATTTATAATCCATTCCGGACACATCACTCAAGGTTATCGCTCCTGTAAATGTAGTGCTGTTTTATCACGGGAGGCCCTCGATGAGTGGCGAGCTCCGGCGCCGAACTATCCGTCGACTTTCGGGGATTTTCCCCAAACAAGCTATCTTCCACCTGCGTGGCACCGCCCCAGCCGGGCCAAGTTGTACGCTGACGAAAGTTCTTCCGACATTTGTGGTAGTGTAGGGCAAGTGAGCTTGTGTGTAGAAAGGGTTGAAGAAAGGACAAAGAAAAGGGAGGAAAGATGGCGCTCAGTCCGTGACCCGTTTGTTAGGATGCTGCTCCGGCATTCGCCTGGTTTTCATCCAAGAAACCACGGAAATTACCGATCAAAGTAGCCGACCGCTCGAATTCTTCTCTAGGCACCGGCGGAATTCGACCTAGCTGGCAAGCTAATGCTGGAAACATCTGCCACAGTTGGAGATCCTAAATCATCCCGGTCAGAGGCACTGTAATGACATGAGTTGCTGCTCTGAGCCACCTTTGCCGATGCACATTTGCGGGGAGAGAGGTCTGCAATTGCATATTGCACACAAGCCTGCCCAACTCGCTTCAAAAGAGCGCGGGCGGTCGCGTCCCCTCCACGTTGAGACGGAGTTCTCCTAGAGAGAGGGTCACTTGTGGTGGGAGGGAAAGTGCACAAATGGATGGTCAAACTTAAGCCATATTTAAAAATATGGACATTCGATGCACAACCATATTTCATTATTAAATCAAAGTATAAGAGAAAATAAATAAAAATTAAAAAAATATTCGTTGCGTCACTTCGATCCTCCGCGAACCACAAGGTGACGAATGGCCTGCGGGCCGTAGGTTAGCCACCCCAGGTGTAGACTGACCCTCTCACAGAACTAGAATTAAAAATAGATATCCATACCAAGAATTCCTTTGCGAGTTTTTCGATCTAATGTTTTCAGAGGATGTCCGATCTTTCAAAGGATCTGACACGTTGAACCAAATTAGTTTGTGTTATAATTTTATTAACATTATGTCAGACTTAATTACATATCTAAAGTCTATTTACTCTACTGATCTATTTATCCTCCGTACAATAATAATAATAATAATAATAATAATAATAATAATAATAATAATAATAATACTTCAGAACGGTTCAAGGAATCCATCGCGTGTCGCGGAGACCATGACAAGTTCCCTGTGAGGGGAAGCTGCAAATCGGGCGGGCGCAGGAAACGTGTTGGTATTTTGTGGAATCATTTTTTTAATTACACAAATTCTTTATCCTTTAATTGTGCTGCTCGAGTCTGTGAGAAACACATCAACATTTTTTAAAATAATTAAATATTTTTAAAAGTGAGTTCCCAGCGACTTGTATATTCCTTTCAAATCGTGGGGTTTGGGTTCTGGCAATTTGGCGTCATTACCTTGTTACTGTATGTAGTGACGAGTTTTAATCTACTGGACCTGGACCCTACTAGCATAGATACGAAAGTTAGTAAACAGGTTTTGTGATCAACCCGTGGTTAGTCTATTATCATCACACTCAGAGAGCACAAGAAAAATACGTTGTGAAGATTGTCCGTGGGGATAAGGTAGAAAGACCAAACATCTCTGCATTAACTACCCAAAATTATTTTTTTTACAACACTCAAACTTTGTTTTAATTGTGTCGCTTTTGAAATTCCATAACATTGTAATAAATTTGTTTTATTCTTGTCGTTATCAATATTGCTGCTTTTTTTGCTTATATTTAATTTTTTTACTTTTAACGAAATATATAACTTATCATTTTGCTCAATTTTACTGAATAAACTATTATTTGAAAAATGTTACCTACAGTGAATTATTTTCTATATTGGGCAAGTGAGGTCCCATAAGCATAATTATGTTAGTATTTGCACCAGAACAGTTAAAGTTAATGCTAATTTTCTTGTATTCAAACGTAAAAATTTCATTATTATAGCTGCTTTTTAAAACAATCTTCTAAGCGGATAAGATGAGGAAAAAGCTTAATAAAGTACACTTTTACAATTATCTGATTCAAAATAAATTTTAAATTGGTTCATATGACTCATCAACGAAAAAATGGGGTTTAACATTTCATTTTGTAACATAAAATGTTCGTGTTGAAATTTGTTGTGTTTAAAAATTGTGTTTAAAAATTGAAACCATTTATAATAAAATTTTAGGAATTATAATTCTAGTTCAAAGAAAAATGTTTTAACAAGTGCGTCGAGTGTCGATGATGATAACATATCTCAACGTGTGGCTATTTCATCAGGTAAGAGTTCCGACGAGCGAGTGGGAGTTTGGGAGTGGG